TATATTTTTTTTTTTGTTGTTTTGTTTTTTGTTTTTGGTGTGTGTGTTTTTATCTTTATTGTCAGATGACATGATGACGGGTTCGAACTGCTTTTCTTTTTTTTTTTAAATCAATTCACCCCAAGCAAGAGGACAACACCACTATGACGCAAGACGTAGGGGTGAGGGAGGCTACTGGTAGTGAAAGGGAAGGAAAAGACTTCAGAAGGAACCGGAAACCCAATAATCGTATAAATTTCCTGAGTATAGGCGGAGACGTTAGAATTTGAAGTATGATTTAGAAAGAACCAGAAACAAACAGGAAACAAGAGATAAACCTCTACTATAGATCAAAAGTGACCCTATCGTCTGGTCAACTTACAGGGGAACCTATCGTCCGGTTCACACTTCTCCCCATTTTTTTTTTTTAACAGGAGTAGAAGTTTGTCGCTTGCTTCCTGTTTAGGATTGGGTTTCCGGTTTGTTGTAGCATACCTACGGACGATAATAGTTATGTTCCCATTCACATTAATACAGTAGTAAATACTGTATGTTGGCCTGCAATTGGAGATTCGTCTTCAGCTGTTCTGGTCAAACTCTCTGCCTCCGGCCAGAGAGGGTCCCCAGACGAGGTTATGTCGAAGGGCAGAGTCTCATCTCGGAAAACAGCTATCCGAACCCGTTTTATACGGGATCTACGGAAAATTTTTGGCCGAGCCTACAGGCTCGTATACCCCACATTAAATTCGGCCTTGTTCTACACCTGACCGCGTGGAGCGGTTGATAGATATCCTACATTCATTGTGGAATTAACTTGACTCACTTCTAGCAGTTGACTACTTCTTCTACGCGCCGCTGGCAAATCTTATATGTATTGTTCTTGTCCTAAGTATTATCTTTCATTACCAACCTTCGTTTGATTATTCTATTGAGTAACCTTCCTTAGGTTACAACACGGTTTTAGTTAAATCTCTAACTTAACAATGATTAAATCTTTAAACAATTAAATCTATAACTTTACATCCAAGAAGAAATAAAAATAATTAATAAAATGAAATGTTCATTTTATCTTATTCATATTCTGGATTTTTCAGACATTATATTCAATCGTCAAGGGAGTTGATTGTAAAAATTTAAAACAGAATGCGATCGCTTTAATTCAATTTTATTGTTGTTTAGCATAATAGATTCAATTACGAAAAGGTTGCACGCGGCACACCATGGGCGAAGCTGATATCTTCCATATTCATTCTGTTATCGTGTCCTTTTGTGCAAGGGTCTTGTCTCTAATATTTCATTGGCCACTGGGTGCGTTTGACTGGGAATAGAGGACTAGTAAAACCATAATACGTATCGCTATCGAAACTAATCAATATGGAAGCTATTACTGTCCAGGAGACACTTAGTAATGTATAGCGAGTATTATTCTTACTTTGTACCCAGCACTTCAGGCCTTGTGTTTTACTTAGTAAAACTTAGTGTATCTTGTCTAAGGATTAATTCATAATAACATACCTCACCTCTTATCGTATTTCTGAAGTGATTCGGTGTTTGAGACTTCACCATGGTTTTGGGGTCTTACGGATCTTCTGTCATTGGTATCATTCTATCATTGAGCAAGAGACCGGGGTTCGAATCTCACCATTATCGATTTTTTGTTGATTGATTCGTTTTCTACGGCTTATCATCCTTTTTTTCAGGTTATTTAAAACTAGAAGATATTTTTAGACGGTAAGAATGTTTTTAGATACTAGTTTAGTGATATAAGTATTACTAATTAACCCATACCTGGGGGAAAGAGGTGGACTCATACCTTTCACAAGGGTATTTGCGCTTAAGTAACGAACCCAACTGGAATTGTAACTCGACTCACCGATTAACAATTAGCTATTATTCATTATACCACCTGAACATCCAAGCTTACAGTACCTGGTATTCCCAATCGTCCACCCATCTAAGTATTGACCAGGCTCAACATTGCTTAACTTTCGTCCTAAGCGTAATGATCGAAATCGTAAGGATATACAAGCGAATGTTTAAGTTAAGAAGAGCTGCTACAAATTGTATTTTCTTGCCACTCCACGCTGGCAGGGTATGACACAAGGTCAGTTTAATGTGGGGAGCCCGTAAGCGTGCACCGGGGCCAGGTCCAAAAATAACCCAGCTCAGCAACCGTTGGTCCCACTGGCATCGTACTACTACCGGTCCCCACACCCTATTTAGTGTAATGATACCTGTATTGCCGGGGGCAGCTGTTTCCCGAGACCAGGCACCTATCCATAATATTTTCACTTGACTTTTCATAAGTCATCGTCGACGATGGTTTGAGCGTGATGGCCTTGTTCAAATTGTTGACCACGCTAGATAACACGCTCTCTCCTGTAAATTGTAACTAAGGTCTGCTCAGCATAGTTCCAGGATAAGCCATAGTTGGGCTCTGTGAGTGTTGAATAAACACAAAACGCACCTGAGCAAGCGTCTGCAATAGGGATTGGCTAGCCGCCATAATAAATGAATACGAGTGACCAGCTATATATATATATATATATATATATATATATATATATATATAAGACATTTTTTTATGTTTATATGTTCTTTTTATAGATAAAAAATATTTAAGTAAATACTCTGTTTATAATAAACAGTATTAATATCATTTACCGGCCTGAATGTCCAAGAAATTTTCATAGAAAATATTCGTCCTTAGCAAGGTTGATTTTACTGTTTTTAACCGAACGTTCCTCTGTGGCCGAAACGATTAAGGCACGTCAGGCTATATCACGGTTCCGTATAGTATACAGGTTCGATTCCTGTCGAAGGACGCATATTTTCATTGAAAATTTCTCGGACATTCAGGCCGGTAAATGTTATTAATACTGTTTATTATAAACATAGCATTTACTTAATTATTTGTATCTATAAAAAGAACGTGTAAACATAAAAAAATGTCTTAAATAATTGTCGGACTTTGTCCATTTCATAATGTATATATACATATATATATATATATATATATATATATATATATATGTGTGTGTGTTTGTGTGTGTGTGTGTATATATATATATGTATATAGCAAATAGTAATAGAGCAGTGAGAGGCTTGTGATGTTTTCTCAGTAAGAAAGAGTCGATAGCTAAGTTCAATTGGCTAGACTGAATTCTTGAGGGCTGTCGATAGCTGTGCTAGCACAAAGTCACAAGTCATCGTGGCCGAGGGTTTGAGCATGCTGGCCTTGTTCAAATTGTTGATCAGGCTAGATAACACGCTCATTTCCAAAAAGTGTATCTTTTTTGTACCTGAGACCATTAATATCAATAATATTTTCACCTGCGCTCTGTCCGAAAGCAGAGACACACCTGAGAGACGAAATGTAATTTATCCGCCCGAGGGCAGATACTATATAGTCCTGGGTATGACGATAAACTATATCCGGCAGCAAAGACTCTGATCGGGAGATTGGACGTATTGAGCAGTGGAATCACCTCTTAATTACTGTTGTTACCTAGTCCAGCCTGACCCGGGTTGGTAGCACCCGTTAGTGTCCCAGGTATGGGCGAATAGTAAACCCACTAATCAAAACATCATCCTTGATAAGACGATAAACTACATCCGGTTCCTGGGTAAGACGATAAACTACATCCGACAGCAAGGCCTCTGGTCAGGAAGTTTTGAAGAGCACGGAACCACCTCTTAATTGCTGGTGTTCCAATGTCCACCCTGACCCGGGGTGGTAGCCCCCGTTAGGGTCTCAGCTATGGGCAAATAGTTAACCCCTAAACTGGGGTCAAAACACTATGAAAGTGTAAAAATTGGTTTTTAGTAGCAGCAATACATTTTTGTAAAACAAATTATTACCAGCAATTAATTTTTAAAGGAAACAATTATTGCCAGCAATACATATTTGAAGAAAAAATATTACCAGCAATACATTTTTTGAATTATTTTACCAGCAATGAATTTTTAAAGGAAACAATTATTACCAGCAATACATTTTTGAAGAAAAAATATTACCAGCAATACATTTTTTGAATTATTACCAGCAATGAATTTTAAAAGGAAACAATTATTACCAGCAATACATTTTTGAAAGAATAAATATTACGAACAATAAATTTTTGAAAAAATATTACCAGCAATAAAAATCTTGTCTGCATTAAATAATACATTGATGTTGATATGCCGTAAAATAAAACAAATCAAACCAAAACAAAACAAACAAAACAAATCACGATGAAAGCATAAAAATACATTTTTATATAAGAAAAATTACCAACAATTCATATTTATAGTAAAATTACCAGCAATACTTATTTACAGTAAAATGACCAACAATGCATTTCTAAAAGCAAAATTACCAGCAATACATTTTATCTGTAGCTGAAGGCATACGATTGCACTTAAAATATATTTAGTTGAAGCCATAAAAATTGTGTTCAAAATATTTAGATTTCGGCATTTGAGTTTGATATGCCGCTAAACAAAAGCAACCAAACCAAATCCATCCAAATATTTAGTTTTCAGCATTAAATAAACCATAGAGGTTGATATGCCGCTAAACAAAATCAACCAAACTAAACCAATCAAAATATTTAGATTTCGGCATTAAATAACTCATAGAGGTCAATATGCCGTTAAACAAAATCAACCAAATCAAACCAATCAAAATATTTAGATTTCGGCATTAAATAAACCATATGTCGCTAAACAAAAACAACCAAACCAAACCATTCCAAATATTTACATTGTGCATTAAATAACCCGTAGAAGTTGATATGCTGCTAAACAAAAACAACCAAACCAGTCAAAATATTAAAATTTCAGCATTAAATAACCCATAGAGGTGTTGATATATCAAAAATGAAATCAACCAACCAGATACTACACTTTGATCCCAGCCAAAAAGGCGGTGGAATACTTACTGAATTACTATTAATTTATACTTTATTTTCTTTGCTTATTTTTCCTTTCCAGATATTTTAATAAATTCCTTTTTATTTTCCTTTGCAGTTGCGGAGATGTACCGCACAGGGCGGCTAAAAATCTCTGAGATCAATCCTCATCTTACATGTATTCTTTGTGGAGGATACTATATTGATGCGACTACTATCATCGAATGCTTGCATTCTTGTAAGTAGACCTATTGTCTTTAATATTTGTGCTTTTATTTATTTACACTGTTTGCTACCAGAATTCTCCAATGATCGGGGCTTGGATCAGAAGTCGTTCATCATTTGAACCGTATTTTGAAAGGCCTTTAAGATAACGTTTCTCAACCGGGAGCACCCGGATGCACAAATGCGCCCTGAAATATAACCAGTTGCGCCCCAACTTAAAGTGTAATTTATGAATTATTTTTATATTTAAAAAGAAATCTTTGTTTTTAAAATGCTTCCATTTCTAAGTCAAATCTTTGTCATTTGATATTTTAAACTGGATTCTAAATTGCTTAATCTTTAAGGAGTGGATAATGATTTCCCTTTTGCATTCCCCAAGGGATTTAAATCAGTTTATTATCGGGCTCTTTAAAATAAAATAGCAGATATTTTATAAATCTCTTTAAATAAAAACTGTACCGCTAATCAACTTTAAGAAACCAAACAGAACGAATCATTAGAGGTAACACAGTAGTAAATACTGTATGTTGGCCTGCAATTGGAGATTCGTCTTCAGCTGTTCTGGTCAAACTCTCTGCCTCCGGCCAGAGAGGGTCCCCAGACGAGGTTATGTCGAAGGGCAGAGTCTCATCTCGGAAAACAGCTATCCGAACCCGTTTTATACAGGATCTACGGGAAATTTTTGGCCGAGCCTACAGGCTCGTATAGCCCACATTAAATTCGGCCTTGTTCCACACCTGACCGCGTGGGGCGGTTGATAGATATCCCACAGTCGGAGATTCATTGTGGAATTCACTTGACTCACTTCTAGCAGTTGACTACTTCTTCTACGCACCGCTGGCAAATCTTATATGAAGTCGTTCATCATTTGAACCGTATTTTGAAAGGCCATTAAGATAACGTTTCTCAACCGGGAGCACCCGGGTGCACAAATGCGCCCTGAAATATAGCCAGTTGCGCCTCAACTTAAAGAGTAATTTATGATTTATTTTTATATTTAAAAAGAAATCTTTATAAAAAATTTTATATTTAAAAAGAATTCTTTGTCAAAACACACCAAGCACAGGCTTCACACAAGCATACTTAGTATTTACTTGCCGTCCTACTCTATGAGAATGTGACAAAAGTCAATTTAATGTGAGGATCCCGAGGGCATGCACCCGGACCAGGTTAAAAAATAAACCAAACCCGCAACCGTCGGTTCCGCTGGCATTGGTATTAATATCGATCCCCCATTTTTAATGGAATGAGGTGGTGGGTACTGCCGCGGTCAACCATTCCCCCGAGACCGGGCACTTTTCAAAAATATTTTCAGTTGCGCTCTCTCCGAAGATAGAGACAAAATTGAGTTGCGTTCTGTTCGGAAACAGGAACACAGTTGAATGATGAAATATAGTCTGTCCGCCAAAGGCATACTTAAAGTTAAACTTCTAATCTTAACCGATAATCCTCTTTGAGAATACTAAACCAAAATTTTATATTTTCAAATTTCATGAGTAGTGTTTCCTTATTAAAATTTAAAGTGGTTCCCAGAGATTTAGTTATTCAAAAAGTTCAACCTAAAGTAAAATAAAAGTTGAGAAACACTGCCTAAAGTTGTCCAAATTTCTAAGTTGAGAAATTAACATTACAAATATTAGTTGTTTATTTATTTATTTATTTATTTATTGGTTCTTTCTTTCTTTTTTATTTATTTCGTCCTTTCTTTCGTTCTTTCTTTGTTGATTTCTTTCGTCCTTTCTTTCTTTTTCTTTTTCTCTCTTTCTTTCTTTCTTTCGTTCGTTCGTTCTTTCCTTCTTTCTTTCTTTATTTATTTCGTTCTTTCTTTCTTTTTCTTTCTTTCTTTCTTTCTTTCTTTCTTTCTTTCTTTCGTTCGTTCGTTCGTTCATTCGTTCTTTATTTATTTATTTATTCCGTTCTTTCTTTTTCTTTTTCTCTCTTTCTTTCTTTCTTTCTTTCGTTCGTTCGTTCATTCGTTCTTTATTTATTTATTTATTCCGTTCTTTCTTTTTCTTTCTTTCTTTCTTTCTTTCTTTCTTTCTTTCTTTCTTACTTACTTTCTTTCTTTCTTTCTTTTTTTCTTACTTTCTTTCGTTCGTTCGTTCATTCGTTCTTTCTTTATTTATTTATTCCGTTCTTTCTTTTTCTTTTCCTTTTTCTTTCTTTCTTTCTTTCTTTCTTTCTTTCGTTCTTTCTTTATTTCTTTCTTTCTTTCGTTCGTTCGTTTGTTCTTTCGTTCTTTCTTTATTTCGTTCTTTCTTTGCTTATTTCTTTCGTACGTTCGTTCTTTCTTTCGTTATTTATTTTGTTCTTTCTTTCATTTTCTTTTTCTTTCTTTCTTTCTTTCTTTCTTTCTTTCGTTCTTTCTTTCTTTATTTATTTTGTTCTTTGTTTCTTTCCTTCTTTGTTTATTTCTTTCGTTCTTTCTTTATTCCGTTCTTTCTTTTCTTTTCTTTCTTTCGTTCGTTCGTTCGTTCGTTCGTTCTTTATTTCTTCTTCTTCTTCTTCTTGATGCTGTTGCATATATATATACACACACACAGTGGTCTGAAAGTCTTGTCACCCCCTAACAAAAAGTAATGAGAACATTAGAACAATATGTAATACAGTAATACAAAGCACATGTAATGGATTCATTTTATTCACTTTCATTATCACACATCGAGAAGACCTGGATGAATCATTTTCGTGTCTGCCATCTGAAATAGAAAATTATATTATGTATGGGTGACAAGACTTTCGGATCACCCTGTAGAAATAACATCACGCTATCAATATATAACTTTCATTTCAATGTACAGTGTGGTCCGAAAGTCTTGTCACCCCATACCAAAATGCATTGAGAGCAAAAGAAAATACAGTAATACAAAGCACATGGACTGGGTTCAGTTTATTCACTTTCATTGACGCTGTCACCCATCGAAAAGGTCTGGATGAACCCCCAACATTTTCGTGTCAGCCATCTGAAATAGAAAAATTATATTATGTCGGGGTGACAAGACTTTCGACCACCCTGTAGATTCATAGATGAAATTATAAAACATTCTCATAGTTAATCAAATGAAATGAAAATGATGATAAAAAGTGAGGGATCGGTTTTGCATTGTTCTTTAGTATTAAACACATACCTCACTTCTTGGGCATATCAGAGGATGGTCCGAAAGTCTTGTCACCCCCTACCAAAAAGTAATGAGAACATTAGAACAACATGTAATACAGTAATACAAAGCACATGTACTGGATTCAGTTTATTCCTTTTCACTGACGTTGTCAAACATGGAGAAAGTCTGTATGAACGCCATCATTTTTGTGACACAAAATGATGCGACGCCATGTCCTATGCTTTGTTGACTGTTGCAAAGACTCTCCGAACGGCATCCTTCAACTGATGGGTATTCTGGTCTTGTTCATGTGAAACTCACCACTTGATAATACTCCACAGAGCGTTGAAATAGAATATATTATGTATGGGTGACAAGACTTTCGGACCATACTGTAGATTCATAGATGAAATTACAAAACATCCTTATGTGATCAAATGAAAGGATGATAAAAGTGAGGGATCAATTTTCTATTGTTCTTTAGTATTAAACATTTCTTGGCCATAGTAAGGTTTGGTCCGAAAGTCTTGTCACTAATTAGAACAACAATATAAAGCACATGTACTGGATTCACTTTTTCCACTTTCACTGACGATGTCACACATTGAGAAGATCTGTATGAACATCATTTTCGTGGCACAAAATGATGCGGCGCAATGTATTGTATGATATTTTTACGATCTGCTTTGTTGATTATTGCAAAGGCATTACGAACGGCGTCCTTCAAATGATGGGTATTCTGGTATCGTTCATGTTAAACTCTCACTTTGATAATACACCACAGAGCGCTGAAAGAAGGTTATGCTATCTAGGGGTCACAAGACTTTCACGTTATCAAAGTACTTCTGGAATACAAATAAACGAGGTCTGTATCTCTTTGAATGTTACCTCTATAGTCTATATAAACCTTACTTGCAAATCTCTCAACTTCACGAATTTCATGGCAGATAACAAGATAAAGACAATGAACACAGAATAGGCTCCGATAGAGGTAGTTTCCCACAACACCGCAAGCTACTACAAAATCAATACATTGACCTAAAATATCGAGTCATGTTCTGCACGTGTAATAGCCTCGACAGATCGATACTTTCAGATCGATATCATGCATGACGTCATACTAGTTCAGAATTATCTAAACTGTTATTATCTGTCATATTTCTGAGATGAAGTATTATGTATATTATTTACATTATTCGAACTATTGTCCTAATCTTTATCGCCATATTTATTACAACGTTTCGGCCCTTTAGTATCTGTCTATATTTCTGAGATGAAGTATTATGTACATTACTTACATTATTCGGACTATTGTCCTCATCTTTGTCGCCATATTTATTACAACGTTTCGGCCTTTCAGTATCTGTCTATATTTCTAAGATGAGGTATTATGCACACTATTTACATTATTCGGACTATTGTCTTCATCTTTGTCGCCAGATTTATTACAACGTTTCGGCCTTTCAGTATCTGTCTATATTTCTGAGATGAGGTATTATGTATATTATTAACATTATTCGGACTATTGTCCTCATCTTTGTCGCCATATTTATCACAAAGTTTCTGCCTCACAGTACCTGCCTATATTTCTGAGATGAGGTAATATGTATATCAATTACATTCTTCGGACTATTGTCCACATCTTTGTCGCCATATTTATTACAACGTTTCGGTCCTTCAGTATTTGTCTATGTTTTTGAGATGAGGTATTATGTACACTATTTCCATTATTCGCACTATTGTCCTCATCTTTGTCCCCATATTTATTACAATATTTCGACCTTTCAGTATCTTTCTATATTTCTGAGATGTGGTAATACGTACATTATTTACATTATTCGGACTATTGTCCCCATCTTTGTCGCCATATTTATTACACCGTTTCGGCTCTTCAGTATCTGTCTATATTTCTGAGATGAGGTATTATGTACACTATTTACATTATTCGGACTATTTCCCTCATCTTTGTCGCCATATTTATTACAACGTTTCGGTCCTTCAGTATTTGTCTATGTTTTTGAGATGAGGTATTATGTACACTATTTTCATTATTCGCACTACTGTCTTCATCTTTGTCCCCATATTTATTACAAGCTTTCGTTTGTTCATACAGACATCTTCAGGTATGGAAATAGATTTGTTTTTGTTTTTTACTTCTCGGCAATAAAAAAACAACGAAAATAGAGATGTAATCCGAAAAAATGCTTTTATTACCGAGAAGTAAAAAACGAAAACAAATCTATTTCCATAACTGAAGATGTCTGTAGGAACAGACGAAAGCTTGTAAAAAATTAAAAAAGATCTTGAACTTTGCAACTTGAATTTATAAACAGGGATCATAACATTTATCACAGGTTCGGGGTTAATGTACTTTATTAAAATTGTTTGCGAAGATGTATTCTCACCATTTAAATCATTAACTTCTATATCTGTTTTTTGTATGAATGATTCATGTAATGTAAATTGAAGTGCACCTGAAATTTATATAGATATATATATATATATATATATATATATATATATATATATATATATATATTATAAATTAATTGATTTAAAATATGTTTTTTCCGCTACACAGTTCTAACCATGTTTCAAAAATGGAAGCTAAAAGCCACGAATTTAATTTTGCAATTAAAGAACACCGGATTATATATCTTACTGTTCTTTCTTTTTTTATTTCATATATATATATATATATATATATATATATATATATATATATATATGTGTGTGTGTGTGTGTGTGTGTGTGTGTGTGTGTGTGTGTGTGTGTGTGTTGGGTTTATGAATGTGTTTGTTACGTTTCATTGATTCTTTAAGGAATTAGATATTGTCTTCTTTATTATTGTTTCATTTAAAAATTAATTTCATTGAATATAATTTTCATTTATAGCATTGGAAATAAAAGATCAATTGTTGACTTTATTCAATTTTACATTTAGTTCATCATTCAGGAGATATTCAACATAAAAATGAAAATGGCTGAGGAATTTATGGCTCCCCGTATTTTACATATGTATTAGTAAATTATATATAGGTATAAGTAAATTTTATACATGTATAAGTAAATTTTTTATATGTATGAGTATATTTCATATATGTATAAGTAAAATGCAATTTCAGAAATACTTAAACATGACCGTCAATTTTAAACCACATAAGTAAATACCTAATCGACTTTTTCGACGTAAAATGTGAAATTTCAACCATTTTTTACTTTTTATTCTTTTTTGAAGCCATTTCACCTGACTTTCGATCTCATTGACACATTCTCTTTCCAAATCTTGTCAAATAATCTTGACTGCTTGAATCTGTCACTATAGGAAATCCACGCGTTTATCCAACCATCTGACTCTCTACAAGGTGTTACGATTTTTTTTTTCTTATGCCAATATCAGCGCCATTTCTTGTAGGCTGACTTGCTTTTAAAGTAAAACGTTTACATTAATCAAACTTCCGGTGAAAAACGATTTTCTTTATTTAGTTGAAGAATTTTTTTTTTTAAGTATTTGCGCGACTTTATTCAGGAAAAATCTTATCGGATTAGAAATATGAAGCATTTCTGAAAGTGAAAAAATAAAGTAGAATCAGGAATGAAAAAAAATGGATGAATACCGAATTTGGGTGTTGGGGGAGGGAGATATGAAGAAATCGGAAGGAATGTTGAGACGACAGAAGGAAACAAAAGGAAACCGGAAATGTAGTAAGTAAACATTTGAATAAGAACGAAAGAGAAAATAGAAATATAAATAAAAAGCAAGGAAAAAGAAAAAAAGAAAGTAACAAATAATAAAAGGCTAAAAAAGAAAGAAACAAAATCAATAATGTAAAGGGGAAAATGCACGGAACATTAGAAAGAAAGAAAGAAAGAAAGAAAGAAAATATAAAAAGAAAATCGGGATGTGTGAAAAGAAAGAAAAGAATAGATATAAAAAAAGAAAGAAAATAGGAAATAAAGAAACATTAAAAAAAAATAAGGAAAAAGAAAAACTGAATAAAGAAGGAAAAATATATAAAGAAGAAAAGAGAGAAAGAAATAGAGAAAAAGAAGGCAGGAAATGACAGAGCAAGAAAGAAAAGACAAAAGAAAGAAAATAAAGAAATTATGTAAAGAGGGAAAAATATGACAAAAAGAACGAAAAACGAAGAAAGAAAGAAAATAAGAAAGAATCACTAACGAAAAAAGAAAGAAAAATTAAAATGAAAAAAAACTGTATATGTGCAAAGAAAGAAAGAAGGAAATGCAGGGAAAGAACAAAACAAAGAAACAAAAAAAGAAAATAGAAAGAGGACACGGAAAAAAGAAAGGAACAAAGAAAGAAAGAAACACCAAAAAAGAAAGAAAAAAACTGAATATGTGTAAAGAAAGAAAGAAAAAAGGAAGGAAAAGAAAGAAGAGCACGTAAAGAACAAAAGAAAGAAAAAACTGACAGAAAGAAAGAAAGAAAACAAAAGGAACAAAAGAAAGAAAATACATAAAGAAAGAAAAAAGAAAACAAAGAAAGGAAGGAAGAAAGGAAGGATGAAAGAAAAAAGAAAAAATGACACAGAAAGAAAGAAAGAAAGAGAGAAAGAAAGAAAACACTGAAGGAACAAAAGTAAGAAAATGCATAAAGAAAGAAAAAAGAAGACAAAGAAAAAAGGAAGAAAGAAAAAGGTGAAAAGAATCACAAAAGAAAGAAAGAATGAATCAATCAATGAATGTAGTTTTAGGCAAATAAGTAAATAAAATAATTTAAACAAGAATTGTACGAAGGTACGAAATCTCGAAGTTATAATAAAACGAGAAACACGAAACGAAAGGAAAAAAACATGAAGGAAAAAAATAAAATTGAATAAATCAAAATAAATAAATAAATTTATAAAAAAAAAAAAAAAAAAAAATGGCTGTGTGAAAAAGTAAAAAAAAAAAATGAGATCTTGTAGATTTCGGATCAACAGAATCGATTAATTTCATTATCACATAAAAACAAAAAAGAACCGAAAAATAATTGCAAATAAAAACGATGAAAGCAATTAAAAAGGTGCATGAGATCGTCAGATAAAAAGCACAGCAAGGACGGAACATTCAAGTTGGCGTTAGGATATCTTAATATAAAAGATGTCTCGCCGTTGAGTATTAATCAAGAAGCCTTTCTCATAAACCTTTACTACAATCTGGCATAGCTTTCTTCTCATTTGTGACCAGAAAGCCATAAATAATTAGAATTTGGTGATCCAATTTTCAGCCAGCACCTCCGCAAGTGATACAAGATTAAATGTACACTTTCATAGCTGCATTAATAGACTGAAATAGCTAGGTTATTTTAGTTATTTAAAAAAAAAATCATTCCACCCTAAGCAAGGCAATAAAGCCACTAAGACTCAACGTGTTACTGGATGTTAGAGAATATGAGAAAAAATACTATTAAGGAGAGAAGACAATAAAAGAATAAGAATTAAGAAGACAGAAGATAATGGTTGACATTCCATTTAGATGTTTGAAGGTCAAATTTGACTGGGCAGCAAAAAGCTGGAAGAGAGTTTCATAAGCAAGAAGTGTGATAGAAGAAACTGTTAGCATAGAACTTACGGTTACATCTAGCCATTTCAACTGTAAAACGATGAGACCTAGCTGCCAATCTAGTACTGCGCTTAAATTCATAAAGTCTAAGTAACATAGATATCATGTTATATTTATTTTGAAAAATAGAAAAATGTGGCACAAATTCAAAAGGTGGGGATAGAGGAAGGCTGTTCTTGAAAGTCCATCAGAACAATTACCATGAAAGCATTTATAGAAAAGGCACGGGAAAGCTTTGTTACGGTAGTAAAGCTACTGAAAGCGAGATGTCATGTCAGGACCAATAACATTGCAGATTCTGCTTTGGATTTTAACAAGAATTTCTAAATATATAGCAGGAGCACCAGACCAGATGTGGCAGCAATATTCAAAGCAAAGACGAATGGTAGACTTATAAATATGTAAGACAGATTCAGGACAGGAAAATTGTCTATCATGACACAGTGAACCAACATTATTCGCTGCGGATCTAGCAATTAATATAATTTTTACATTTATATTCATGCTGTTGCCTGAACAAGTCTGTCACAGATTTGGAGATGTTAATATTTAATGTTTCCCAGAATGCAACACAGTTAATGAAGGAAGACAATGAAATGAAGTGAAATACACATACAAGGAAAAATAGAAAATAAAGTCTAGGGTACCATAGAACAAATGTGCGTATGAAAATATTCATAGACAAGACACAGAGAAGCTACGTTATGGCTGTGGGAAAATTGACTGAAGCTGAGATGCCAAATCAGGACCAGTAACATTGCGTACTCTCCCGTTGTAATGGTATTTTCCACTCTCTCTATTACCTATTTTAGACTGACTATATCAGTAATATATGTAGTGTGCACAGGACATACCAGAGTTGTTCAGTCTGTGTGTCTCTCTGACTGGCTTCGGGAAGTGTTCGTCGATTCCTTATCTTTCAGTAGTGTATTCTCTTTTACAATAAACCTTTCTTTCTTTCATCTACGCCCTTGTGACTGTTCCTTCTACTCAAGTACCACCTTTGTCTGTTTTTAACCTTTTTAAGTACACAACATCTTCTTACGATTTTATAATGGATATCTGAATCGATAAATGAAGCTCCAGACCGAATGTAGCAGAAATATTCAAAGCATGGACGAATGGTAGTTTTATAAATATATAAGATTCTGGCGCGAAAATTTGTCTATCATGACACAGTGAACCAACATTATTCGCTGCGGATCTAGCAATTAATATAATTTTTACATTTATATTCGTGCTGTTGCCTGAAAAAGTCTGTCACAGAATATGAGATGTTAATATTCAATGTTTCCCAGAATGCAACACAGTTAATGAAGGAAGACAATGAAATGAAGTGAAATACACATGCAAGGAAAAATAAAAATAAAGTCTAGGGTACCATAGAACGAATGTGCGTATGAAAATATTCATAGACAAGACACAGAGAAGCTAAGTTATGGCTGTGGGGAAATTGAAAGAAGCTGAGATGCCAGGTCAGGATCAGTAACATTGCATAGTCTTCTATCGATTTTATCATGGATATCTGAATCCATAAATGAAGCTCCAGACCGGATGTGGCAGCAATATTCAAAGCATGGACGAATGGTAGACTTATAAATATATAAGATAGATTCTGGAGAAAAAATATGTAAGATAGATTCTGGCGAGAAAAATTGTCTAGTACCGTGCTCAAATTCATAAAGTCTAGGTACAATAGAGGAAAACTCATCAGAAAAATTGCCATGGAAATATTTGTAGAATAGATACAGGGAAGCTCCATTACGGCGGTGGAAAATCGACTGAAGCAGAGATGCCAAGTCAGGACAATAAACATTTTTCTTTGGATTTCTTCAAGAATCTGTTACTATATAACAGGGGCACCAGACCAGATATAACAGTAAAACATGGACAAATGGTACACTTAGAAATATGTAAGGTAGATTCTGGCGAGAAAAAAATGTCTAGCATGAATCAACTTTCTTAGCTTAGCGAATCAATTTTCTTAACTAAGTGCAGCGTTTCTCAACCGGTGTTCCCCGGAACCCTAAGGTTCCACAAAAGGTCTCTAAGGGTTCCACGAGAACAGGTGAGATAACCTAATGCACTTTTGATGAGGAGTGAAGGTAGTTAAAATAATAGCGGTGTCATGGGAAAAACCGTACTTTTGACTCTCGGTTTTTTTGATGAGCATCAAAGTCTAAATTTGCCAAATTTTTGTTATACCTAAAGGGCAACCAGATTCAAATCATCATTCTACATCAGCGTTTCTCAATAAGTGTTCCCCGGGAACCCTAAGGTTCCACAAAAGGTTCCCAATGGTTCCGCGAGAACAGGTGAGATAAGCTGATGCACTTTTGACTTTTTATTTAATTTCATATATGTAATATTACTAAACAGTAAACACAATAGATTCTTGATTATTGTAATATTGTAATATAGACATCAGCCTATCTAACTCATTATATTATTAAAAATATAACAATCATTCGGAATATATTTAGTGATGTCTGTATGGCGCCATTGTGAAACCACCTTCACTAGTCAGTACTCACTCAGCAAACCAGTTATTCAAAAATATATACTTTGATATTTACATAGGTGCCAGAATTTCAATTCCATCCTGATTATCATTGATCATGTTGCATTTACACCATGAGGACAGATGTTTTTATTCCACATAATCGCCAGTTTGTGTTATTATTCCAATGTGCCATTCAAACTTGCCAATTGCTCCCTATAGTGTTGCACAGTCTGAGTTTAGATCAACGTTTCTCAACCAGGGTTCCATGGAAACACTAAGGTTCTGCAAAAGTCCCCAAGGATTCCGCGAGAACATGTAAGATACTTTTTATTTAATTTCATATATGTAATACTAAACACTATTATTAAACGCAAACAATATATTCTTGGTTATTTTAATATTGTAATATAGAATTCATCCTATCTAACCTATTATGTTATTAAAAAATATAACAATCATTGGGAATATATTTAGTGATGTCTGTACGGCACCAGTGTGAAACTACCTTCACTCGTCAATGTCCACTCAGCGAACGGAAACTGTAGTTAAAGTTACTTATTTCTTCATTTTTTTCTTGAAAACTCCCTGATGAAGTATTATAAACGAACAGTATGAATTTTAGTTAGCATTACCGAAAAAATTGACCAAGAATTATTAATTTTTCTTTAAACCAGTTATTCAAAAATATATACTATGATATTTACCACTTGAACAACGATGAAAATAAAATGAGAAAAATATGATATATAATTTTGTTTTTGCGTAGGGTCCCTTGAGACATGTAATTTATTTTAAGGGTTACGCAAGGGTAAAAAGGTTGAGAAACGCTGGCTTAGTGAACCAACTTTCTTAGCCGCAATCTTAGCAATTGATTCAATATTCTAAATAATTTCCACTTCATGTCAACTGAAAACGTTAGTCAGAGAAGACGCAATGAATATCAGCGTTCTCATTTTTTATGCCTTCTGTCTTTCATTTTGTTTTTTGTCTTTCCTAGAGCTTCTAATGCTCACAGGATTGTCTCACCGTAAAGGATTAAGTTCGGTGAGAAGACCCGCCCTTGTCTTACGCCCCTTAGAATTAATTTTCTGGTTCAAGTTAAAAATCTCACATACAATCAGAATGTTACTGTATTTCTAGGACACTTAATGAGGAAAGAGGGTTTGGAGAAGTTAACACTCACAGGTGATACTGAAGGTAACGGAAGCAATTGAAAACAGCGAGTCAGCTATCGAATCAGCTTTTATATATTGATGAGTTAACAGGGACTAAAAGGGGTGATGAAAAGACAAACCTAACGAAGCTCTGCAAGGGATAGGATGTTGTGGAGGGCCATTATCTCATACATCCAGAATGAACAGAGCACATAAAACAAAAAATGGCATTTATTACAGCCACTAGGGTTAGTCTATAATAAAAAGAATAAAAAAAACTCGGGTCTTGTAGCAGAGTGTGTTTCTCTTCTCATAAGGGTAAATACGTTTGAGGGTCAGTTTTGTGAGACCCCATGAATACGGGTGGGTAAAGACAAAAATTGTCCACTCTTTGCATCCAGTATTATAATAGAGATCCTCAACAATATCCCCATCTCTTTTAAATACACTGGAGAGGTACTGTCTTGATGTTGGAATCTCCAGAACTATTTTAATTTCATCACCCCTAAAGATGAAACCGGACAGCTCCTAACACAACTGTAGCTCACGAATCCAGCACTGGGCAGCCCGAAAACTCCGATGATCCGAAAACTCCTATGATCAGAAACGTCTTATAATCCGGTAACTCCTATGATCCGGTAACTCCTATGATCCGGTAACTCATATGATCCGAAAACTCTTACGATCCGGAAACTCATGTCATCCGGAAACTTCTAAGATCCGGTAACTCCTATGATCCGGAAACTCCTATGATCCGGTAACTCATATGATCCGGAAACTTCTGCCATTGGTTCATTGACCGGCCAATAG